GGGTGTCGGCGTCTTCGGCATCTTCCACGCTCTCGTCGGAATCGTAGTAGCCATCTGCCTCGAGCTTCTCTTCTTCCTCCTCGAGGGCAGCAAGCTTGCTCTCGATATCTGGATCCACAAAGTCGTAGATGTTCTTGCCCTTCCACACCTCGGGAATCTTGTCGTGGTTCCACTCGGCGTCGGCAAGAGTGTAGTCGCGCTGCATGTCGAAGTTGTAGACACCAGCACCGCCGTTCTCTTCTTCGATATCGCGCTCCAGTTTCCGGCGGTTGGGGTCGTTCTTGTCGTACTTCTTGAGATCTTTGACGCCCTCGGGAATGAAGGTCTCGCGCACACCGCCCATAGGCTGGGCCACGTGGATACGAGACAAAACGTCGCCGAGACGGCTGCCGGGGGTGGCAGAGGTGGAGCCAGACTTGAGCTTCTGGGAGACTCGCTCAGCAAGGAGCTTGTCACAGGCAGCGTTCTTGACGGCGGTCACACCCTCGGTGGTGGTGCAAGAAACCTGCAGCAGCTCGACATCCTCGGCCTTGAGAATATCCTGAAGTTGCTCCTGGTACTCAGGCTCCAGGTCCTCAGGACGGCGCACATCAATCTTGTTAACGACAATGAACACAATCTTGTTGGCGAACAAGGGCTTGATGCTGTGGAAAAGCTTGATCTGATCACCGACGGAGTATCCACACTGCTCGGAAAGATCCATGAAGTAGAGGATAGCGGACCGCAAGTGAGCAACAGCGGTGATAGATTGCATTTCAATGGTATTCATCTCCTCGAGAGGGTGGTCCAAAATTCCGGGGGTATCAATGGCCTGGAAACGGAGGTATTTGTAATCGAAATGGCCGACGAACAAACTCTTAGTGGTGAAAGCGTAGGGCTGAACATCGACATCTGCACGGGTGATATTGCGCAGGAAGCTCGACTTTCCGACGTTAGGGTATCCACAGATCAGAAGTGTACGAGTGTTGGGGTCGATCGAGGGCAGACGACCCAAGTGCTGGCGGACCTGCTCCAAGTAGACGAGGGGATCCTTCAGGCGGCGGGTGATGGTTGCCATGCGACCGAGGGCAGCACGCTTGAGCTGCTTGCACTGGAACAAAGACTGCGCATACTTGATGAGACGGACGTAATCGCGAGAGACGGTTTCAATAAGGTGCTTGGCGGTTGAGACTTGACCAAGGGCGATACGGAAGTGGTCGGCATCGTAAAGAGTGTTCATCAAATCCTTGTCTGGTGGATATTAGACCCCACCCGAATAGCTATATCGCCATGGGAGTTAGACTTACGGAAAGGATGGATATCCTGCAGGCGAGGGAATCCATCGAGAATGTGCTGGAACTTCTCACCGAAAGTCTCCTGTGTATATTTGACCTTTCTGGTGTAGAATCCTGATGGGAAATTTTTTGATCAGCGATTGTGCTTTATCGATAACCGCGATAACTTTTTTTTTTTTCATCTTGCCGCCATGTCGGATTAAACAGAATGATTGGGGTCGTACCTCTGATACGGCTGATCTTGAAACCAGCACGAATCTGTGTAGGAAGCTGTCTCTGAGTACGACTCAGGACAATATCCAGGAATTCCTGGTGTGTGGGCACAGGCGCAATCTATCAAGCGGTGAAAAACACATCAGCAATCTCTTCTGTCGAAGCGCAAAACTGCAGGAGGGATATTGGACTCACATCCTTCCACGTTGTCTTCATGGTGGGCAAAAGTCAGGAGTCAAATATGTTATGACTCTTGAAGTAATGCCGTGAGTGAAGGGTGTTGATAGAGTGGGTTTTTCTCCACGAAAAAATCGTCGGCAGTCCTTTTTTTCTGCCAGGCGGAGGACCAACGTGGGGGCTACTATTGGATCAACCATGATATAGGCGAGTCACGTGGTCTGGTATCGAACAAAAGGCCAAATGCTCCATGCAGGCTCGAGAATGTTATATTTGTATATTTATCTCAATCTCTTGCCATAATTCCAACCTCATGCTCATATATATTGAATTGTCGTCAACTATGGTACACAAGCCTTTGTGACCGATTCGGGAAGTCCAAGCCGTTTCTGCCCAGTTTCATAACAGTAATCCCGCCCACCCGAAGAAACTCCATTGCTTTTCTCGCGAAAGCCCGTCTAGGATAAACCCTTGAGATGAGACAAAAACATGGATGTGCGTACATAATAAAGGATATGCTAAACCCCTCTTGTGGTTTAACATGGTCCAAGTCGAAATGGTGCAAAATAAGAAAAGAAGGGGAAAAAAAGATACACGAAAACCTTCTTACTCCTCAATAGGCTCGGGACCAAACTCCAGGATCTAGTTGGGGTTAGTATATATTTGCTGATGGTCAGAAAGAGAACCTACCATATCAACCCAACCACCACCACCGAACTGGCACTTGCTAGGGCCGTGGGACTCGAAGCCAAATGACTCGTAGAAGGGAATCAAATGATCGTGTACAATGATTGCGATGCGATCGGCAATCTGGGCCTCTCTAATACGCTGGATATATGACTTCATCAATGTGCTTCCGACCTGCTTGCCCTGGTGCTTTGGATCCACAGCAAGTGAATGAATGGCAATAGTGCTGCCACCTTCTTCGTGGCCAACGGCTTGTCCGTCTTCGACGGACCAACGCTCGTTTTTCCAATTGACCGGAAGTCGCATCGACCGGTCTGTCACAATGGGCTCTGAAGTGCGAGTAGCAATGATGTGTCCAACGAGGGTCGGGCGGGGTTTGGCTTCTCCTTCCGCGAGCAGAGGAAGAGTGAAGAGGCCCAAACTAAGCTCGGGGCATCTGGTGAGACGGTAAACGAACTATCAAAGTTAGCAATGAAAGTCTCCAATAAGCTCGCCTAGCTCGCCTCCAGTTTGTATCAAATTGAGATAATTCAAATATTGAGGTGGTACTTTGTATTGGTGTAATGGATCTCTAAGATGATCCGGATAGCCATACCTTATCGTAAGAGCAACGCTCCTGCTCGGGGAAAGCTTCCTCTACTTTCACACAATCTTCCACATTAGATGCGGAGAGCAATTGGACAAAAGGATGGAGCTCATCCAGCTTTGTGCGGTTGTGGGAGGGTGGGCGGCGGAACCAGTATGGGAAATCGCTGGCGTCGTCATCCTGATCAGCCGCAGCATAGTCCTCATCCACATCGTCCTCATCCTCGTCATCATCGCTCGGAAACCCATTGGCTAGGGCAACTCCAGCATGGCCCATGATATGAGACAAGTCGGTCTTATTAGGGTTTCCGAGAGATAAGTCGTCCGCATTGGACAGCGGTCTCAGCCCGGAATCGTGGCCAGACATGGAATCGGAAAGGTATTCACTCCGATCGGACATTGTGAGGGATTGAGAAGTAGACTGGGGTATCGAGGGTCAGAGCGGCTGAGATGGAATTTTCTGGGGGTGAGACCAGGCTAGGGTGCCACAATCAATTGGAGTGCAGGGGGGACCCGGCTTGGTGGCGTAGATGAGGATGTGAATCTAGAACAGTGGGGATTAATTTCATGCAGGTGATTGGGACTAATATCGAGTCAAACAGAAAATGCCAATTTCAACATTACATGGTCAATTGGGATCTGTGTCTGGTCAAGGAAATCGAAAGTGCTTCCAACATTTCCCAGGTTGGGAAATGTTGGCAATTCCTAAGAATTTGCGACACTGTGCGCAAGGAGCGGTTTTGTGGAATTGGATTGAAGGGGGAATGAAGCGCTCTTACATGATTCAATTGATAGTTAAGAACTCTCTTCAATGGCCAGAGATGTGTTTCACGCAAAGTAGTCTCGGACGTGGAGAAGGAGGAACTTTTGCAGTGGCGGGGGAGTCCAGCCGATAAAGTACAGAGACCTATCAGTACGATCTCGCCCGCGTTCACTGTATAATTACATCGTATCCTCCGGTACTGTTACATGCACCCCCAAAGCGGTCTAAGTGAATTTCCTCCAGGGCTGGATTCTAGAACCCTTGGAATAACGTTCATCTGCAGCTCGTCCTCTTGGCTTCCCCGTTAGAGTACAGCTATGGCTTTTGGTTTATTGGAGGTTTCTGGAATTTTCTGTTCAGCATTTATCAATTTATTAATTCAGTGATGTTACTATCTAGATTCTAAGCATTAGTATCATCGACATACATTCATCCTGCTTGCAATTTTCTTTTTCCTTTTCTTTTGTTTTGATACTAAGACGAGAATCCAGTATAGAGTTGATTTTATGTTTTTTTTTCTTTGTTCTCTTATGTTGGACATAAGAAAGGGTTGTTGAATTGTACCAAGTTTGCTATTTATGACCACGCCGTGGTCGTTAATATATTTCTTAATAAGAGTATGCCCCCCTCGGGCCTCCATTCCACTGGGATGGCCTAGTTGAGTTTCTTACCCAATGTCTCAGTTCTCAATGCATTATACACAGTATGAAACCTGTATAGAACACATCCACTAAGATCTAACATAAATTGCAGAGTAGAGATGGTAGAGTTACTCCCAGACTTCAGCCCAACTCCTGGTCAGAAAAGACACTGAGATCGGGTTAGAATCCCGTGGAGATCGGCTTGATATCCAAGAACCTACAGAATAGAAATAGGCAGCCGGGTAAGGATTGGCTTGCACACAATATTTGAAGTAGCGGACAAAAGGATGAAATGTTTGTATTATTTTACCTCATACGATGCGAAGCGGTTGTAAAAAAGCATCCGAAGTTGCATTTAGGTGAGGTGTTTTTCAATGAATCAAGATTGGACAAGAATATATGTACAATGATGCAGGTCTATATAGCAGTGGACACTTAAATGCCTCTCTCTTATCAATCTCGGGATCCACAGGCGGTGAGCTATAACCGAGGATGCGTCATATTATTTCCTCTTTTTTTTTTGTTTGATCTTGTCTCATTATTCTACGTTGTGTATCCTATATTGTATTTTTACTGCTGATCAGTGGCAAGCTTGCTTCGAGGCTCTTGCATCGGCGTCGACTGCTAGGGCGAGCAATTGATCCCAAAATACACCCAACCATGAGCTCCCGAACGTTGAATTGGTCTCGAACAGCCAAATCCTCATTAGTGAAGGTAACTCAACCCGAGATCCCCGGTTGATATTGAGCATCAACTGACTAGAAAATTCGAAGCAACATCTAGTTCGCCCGAGTGACCCTATTGCGGCGCGCCCGGCACAGGCGCTGAATGTCCGAGCCCAGCAAATCGCGGAGTTCTCGGGCAGCAGCGAAAACCAAGATCGCCTCGGCCACCGCGCAAAGGAGAAATTGCTCGATCGGGTAGGTGGCAGATGACATTCTTTTGTCTCATATATTAATGGGTGTGTGTTTGGTTCAGGAATTTTTTCTTAGCCTCCTGAGCTCCGCGTCGACTAAGCGCGAGGCTAAATCGTACCTAGCTCGGCTTAAGGCCAGCCCCGCCAAATCGCGCCAAGAGCCTACCCCCGAATTCCTGAAGGATTCCATATCAGCATCTCTGCCCTCTGGTGTCAATTTGGGCTCGTTCTATGGCGCCTCTAGGGCGGTGTATGACAGTCCTGTCTTCCGCCAAGATACAACTCCCACTCCGCGCCCACAAGATATACCTGAAAGGTTGCACTTGGCCTTGATCAAAATCACCACCCCGCAATTACTCGACGATTCCGTGATCAATGGAGTGGCTAAGACTCTGTCGCAGCTCGTCCGTCTGGGTATGGCATGCTGCGTGGTTATCGATCCCGGGAAGATGGATGGCCCTGCTGGGCGACAAACAGGCATTGAGCAGGCAAATCGGATATCGGCCGCAGTCGATGAGCTGCCCGACTCGAAATCATTCAGACTAGACTCGACGTTATCTATACCTGAGCGGGGGTCCGGCCAACTTGAGGTGCTATCGCGAAAAGTGCTCTTGAGTGCCCTTCGGGATGGTCATGTGGTACTTATTCCGCCGATTGCCTATGTTGAGGAAAATCCACGAGCTGTGACAGTTTCAGCTAACGATGCCACCCTTGCACTGACGAAAGAATTTGCCGGATTGTCTTTACATCCTGACCCGGACGAGGATCCAGTAGTAACTGTCGAGAGAATCACAGCTCTACAAAAAGAAGTCTCCCTGGACCGTGTCATTGTTCTCGATCCGCTTGGGGGCATTCCGGCTTTCAAGGGCCCCCAATCATCGCACGTTTTCATCAACATGGAGCAAGAGTTTGATCAAATTGAAGATGAGCTTTCCCAGGCACGAAACTCTTTTTCTGGAACCCATGATTTATCAAAACAGTCAACCGCAGAAGCTACTTATCCAATTCTGGAAAGTAACCCATTTTCAAAGTTTGTCAATCGTGAGGTTGTCTCGCCTGCGCAACCTACTGCACCCAGCCGATCACCGGGTGCCGAGGCGATGGAGGAGGTGCTAGATGGGCATATAGAGAATCTCCGATTAGCCCAACAAGCATTAGCAATGCTACCATCGGCCTCTTCAGGGATTATCACCTCCCCACAAGAAGTCTCATATTCAGCCCGCTCACCGCAAGAGGCTGCTTCGGACCTATCAGCTGTTGGAACCCGTCGACAGCGCAACCCATTGATCCACCACCTCCTCACCGACAAGCCCCTACTATCATCATCTCTACCCCCTGGTCGGCGCGGAGTTTTCAAAGGCAGGAAATCTAGCACCCTCAGCCCGGTCATCTCCCACACGACCTTTGTCAAACGTGGAATGCCTCTCACAATCCTCCCCAACCCCTACAAAAAACCCTGGACAGCCCAGCTCCAACCACGGCTGGGACTACACGACCCTTCCATCGATCTCCCCCGTCTAGTCACCCTAATCGAGGACTCCTTTGACCGCAAACTCGATGTCCAAAACTACCTCGACCGGGTGAACAGCCGTATCGCCGGCGTCATCGTTGCCGGCGAGTACGAAGGCGGTGCAATCCTGACCTGGGAATTGCCGCCGGGCGTACCGGACGATGGAAGTGAAGCCAGTACTGCCCGCATGGTGCCGTATCTAGATAAGTTCGCCGTGCTGAAGCGTAGTCAGGGCGCGGGCGGTGTCGCGGACATTGTGTTCAATGCGATGGTGCGCACATGTTTCCCCAATGGAGTCTGCTGGCGTAGTCGCATCGACAACCCTGTAAATAAATGGTACTTCGAGCGGTCGTTGGGTACCTGGAAACTGGCTGATAGTAATTGGGCTATGTTCTGGACGACGCCTGGGTTGGTGGAGGATACTCAACGCTTCCAGGATTTTGAGGCTGTTTGTCGGTCTATTCAACCTAGTTGGGCTGATAACAAAAGTGTCATTGACTGACGTGTGTGTGTATATAGAAAGCCACATAAAACATTTATGTCATGCAATGGCGATGATCAAATACATCCTCCAACCCTTTTCCTTCCCACATACTGCGTACTCGGGGCATGTCGACGCCTAGATTATGAACCTACTAAAACTCTTGCATATCATTGACAATCCTCAGGTTGCTAGGTATCTTGGCGTTATGTAGCTTTCGATGATTACTGTCCATTTTTTTTATATCATATTATCCCGTTATTTTCTTAGGACACAATGGAATCGAAGATCAAAATGTGTAGCTGATTTAAGATCCACTAAACTGCAAATTAGTGGGGTTCCAATGTTCTAGTCTTGCTTGGACGCCACGATGTACGTACATATGTATTGTGTGGTTTATTCATAGTATACTCTCCTCTCTTCCCTCTCACATACATCTCTACTGCCGACACTCACTTGGCACAATGAAACATATCATCTGCAGACATCAGTCATACGCCAATTAGGGCATTGATATACCGTGCTAAGTGCTGCGATGTCAAGCAGCACGCTTCTCTATTGGCAGTTTGGTCGAAGGGAACAAAACGAAGAGTTCCCGTGTTGGTTCATATTCCTCTCCAAGACGCGTGGAGCCCATCTTATATGACATCGCATTCAGGAACTGGTGTTTTTTATGACCTTTATATACATTCAACTTTTCAATCCTAGCCTCTACAAGATGCTGGGATCTACCTAAGATGTTGTTCTTTTCGAACTCAGCGACCAGTAGCTATGCACTTATTGTGCTTGTGCTGTGACTAGAGGCGTTGGCGGACGACTTCGACTCAGTCTCGATCGAGTCGTCAGCTAATGCAGACATATTCGCAAGAACTGTCGAGCTATTACTGGCAGTGCCACTACCGTCCAACATCTCAACCACGAGGGTGTAAAGATAACCGAATATGTCCTCGAAGGCTATATACTTGATTGGGAGCTACATGCCTATCATACACTAGCTAGCTATCCAACCAAACGAAAGAATGGACTGACGATAGCGCGCTTGTTTCCCAATAACCCAACATGTGTCGTTCGTACCAATTCTATGACGCATAAGCGCGGTTGTGTCGATTGAGAAAATATCTATATCTTTGGATGTAAGTTACAGCCCCTTGATATGACTATATTTTGGTGCGATATTAACTGAAACTGAAGTCCACGGCTGGCAGTACAGAATGCCCCGGATAATGTCCGGTTAGTAATCAAGGTCTCACGTGCCGACCCCCGAAGTCGGGACTACCCGACCCCCTATCTCCGTTCTGGGTCCACCGGGGATTGAGATGGTCCATGACATCTCCAGCCCGTGCAAGTTGAGCTGCCAATGTGCCTGTGATTAACAACAAACTTGGTACATAATACTATCATATGAAGAGAAATCTCTTCGTTTAATTTTTCTTCGAGAAGATGCGCGCAACTAGAGGTGCCAAGGGGCCTGCGGCTCAGGACGTCATGGTAAATTGCCTTGACTCCTATAATATCCGCGTGATGACACCTACCTCCTGCGATAAATACCCAGGTTAGTATCCTTCTTCCTAGAATGAACATTGAAAGGTCGGAATGCCTTTATTTGCCTTTCTTTACCTTGTCCCATAACTGTCTACTACCCCACTGAACCCCGGCCGGTGATTGCGTGAGACTCGAGCTGATTAGACCGGTCTCACCAGCCAAGCACCATGCGCGCAACGTCACCCGGAAGCTTGGAGCTTCAACTGGCTTGATCTTCCTTTCCGGACAGCCGACAATTAATCTGCGCGATTCCGATCAATCGCGCCCATTCCGACAACGACGATACTTCTACTACCTAAGCGGAGTCGACGAGCCCGACTGCTTTTTAACGTACAATATTGAACAAGACCAATTAACCCTTTATGTCCCTGACTTCGACCTCCACCGTGCTATCTGGATGGGACCAACCCTCTCACGGGAGGATGCACAAGACCGATATGATGTGGACCATGTGCGGTATCACAGCTCGCTCAAATATGACCTACAGGCGTGGCTCGGCGAGCGAAAGCAGGGCAGCGAGCTGTACCTAATTCATAACTCAGAAAAGCCCGAGCATCTACCAAAAGATCTACCTGTGGACTTGGAACAGCTCGGACCTGCTATGGACACAGCCCGAGGCATCAAGGATGAATATGAAATTCGGATGATCCGCCAGGCCAACAAAGTCTCGGGGCTTGCCCATCGCAAAATTCTAGAAAATATTTCGACTATGTCCAACGAGTCGCAGATTGAAGGATCATTCTTGAACACTTGCATCTCCAACGGTGCCCGGAACCAGGCATACCAGATTATCGCAGCATCTGGCCCCAACGCGGCTGTTTTGCACTACGACCGAAATAACGAAACTCTCCACAAGAAACCGCTCGTCTGTCTCGATGCCGGCGCGGAATGGGACTGCTATGCAAGTGACGTGACGCGAACCTTCCCTCTTACTGGCGAGTGGCCCAGCGACTACGTGCGGGATATCTATCAGCTGGTAGAGCGCATGCAAGAAGAATGTATTCGGTTGATCCGGAAAGGGGCACGCTATCTATCGCTTCACGATCTAGCCCATGACATTGCGATCGAGGGTCTCCTGGCTCTAGGTGTGTTCAAGAATGGCACAAATCTTGAAATTCGTCAGTCTGGCGCATCCAAAGTCTTCTTCCCACACGGTCTGGGTCATCACGTTGGTCTTGAAGTCCACGATGTGTCAGAGCGATCAATCATGGCTCTGCACCAGGGTTTCGATCAGCCCCAGTATCGGCCGATTTTGAACTCTACATGTCTTTCGCCGTGCACTCTTTCCGCTCCGCTGCTGGAAGAAGGAATGGTTGTGACTGTTGAGCCAGGCCTCTATTTCTCTCCTCTGGCTTTGGCTAACGCGCGCCACCAGCCGTTTGCCCGGTACATTGATTTTGATGTTGCAGAGAAATACGTTCATATTGGTGGAGTGCGCATTGAAGATGATATTCTTGTGACTGCTACTGGGTACGAGAATCTCACCACTGCACCAAAGGGTGAGGAAATGCTTGCCATTATTAGAGGATCTGCATAGTGTAGAATTCAGTATGATAGTAATGACATGGAAATGGTACATACTCGTATCAGATTCAACAACATCCAAAATAGCAAAGCCAGTTGAGACGGGTCGTTCGGATATGCATCATAACCGATGATTGTAAATTGGGACCTCGTGTTCCTGCCGTCACACGCTCACACAAGTTACCTCACCATTCAATCTAACGCTACTTTGTACAGTCATGAAGAGGCACTCCTCTACGACTCTATCTCACTAACGTACACTCATCTGTCTAGCCGAATTTCCCGACTTTTATCGGGTACGTAACCCGGTAACTTCTCGGACCCGAGAGCGGCTTTGCCTCACCCCTATATGGAGTACATCTGCTTGCATTATTATATGACCTGTATTAACTATATGTGGCTCCGTACCAATTATGAAAGAGCGAGTGATATGCCTTAACTATAAGTGGGGGAAACAAGATATATTGTAGTTGAGTCATTCAGACTTTGACCTCCCTGGCCCATAATTATGTGTGGTCATTACGCATGCGATGTACGAGAAATTTCAAGGGATGGACACGTAAGCATTCTAAGCATTAGCCTGACCTGTTAAATTTGTCCACCGAGAGCTATAGACTGATCCACGGACATTGTCAAAGAGACACGCCAGTGTACCTAAGTAGTTGAGATGGAAACATCCTCATTGTTTAATATGAAGTAGAAATGTCTTTTATCTATTCACGAGCAATGAACAGTAGACTCTCTCAAAGATGAGCCAATTTAAACTTGTCTATAAAGGAAACGCTCATAGGAAAGCAAAAACTCCCCAGGTTTGGAAACAAGCAGTCAATGAATGGTCTTTGTCACTGACATCTATATGCGACCCCCCTCAGGTCATCGATTTTAACTTTTAATTCGCACTTTGTTCTCGCAAGGTTTTGTGTAGGTTGATCTCGTGCAGTACTCGGTAGTGTTCCTTTTTCAGGGATTTGAACTCGTCGTCTAGTTGATGGTGCCATGGGTATAAAACGAAGACTTGGAATGCCAGTGCCGAAGAGGCAACCCCAAAATTGATGAGCGAGATTCCGCGCGTGATCCACATGGTTGGAAAGACTGACTGATTAGTATTTGGGCCGAAAATGAGGGAATAAAGGACTCACGGTGAACTGAGGAGAGGGTATTATGTATTATTGTTAGATGGTGGTGAGTATGATACACCTAGGATGAATAGAAACGGAAATGGTGAAGGGAGTACAAGTAAAGGAGAGAAGTCAAATTTGACACGGCTATTAAAAGATTTTGATTTCGGCAACTGCGAATTCATACCGAATGTAGTTCGAGTCCAGCAACCTTTGTACCTCGGACCCGTGGACTTGTTTATCTCTCGGAGATTGATCGTATCAGTCGGATCCGAAGCGATAAGGACCGAACCTTCCAAGGGTCCTTTCAGCCCCAACCTTGAACTTTCCAAACACTCTAAACTTTAAATTTGCTTGAGAACTCTTCCAAAGTTCTTTACCAGGTTCCTTGAAGAAATTCACAGTGAGTGATTACACCTTCCTTGATAAGGAAGTACTCGACATGTACTAACTATATTCATAGACCAATTCTGCCAACCTTGAGACACCGCCCAAATTATCAATACAAGTACATACATCCGAAGCAATGGAATCCAACTACGCACAGAGCAAACCGCAGCAGCTGCTCAGTTGGGTAAGGGAACAGAAATACAAACTTGCTGGCGCAACTTTCGCTGCCAGCATGGTCGGTTCCTTTATTATGGTCGGTCGCAACCCGTACCTGACGAGTAAACAAAAGCTTGTGCAGGCTCGTGTGTATGCGCAGGGTCTGACGCTGGCTGTCATTGTTTCATTGGCTGCGCTCGACATGACAGACCGACGAAAGCCTTGATCAATCTATCTGCTCAGCGCAAGGAAGTTGTCAAGCAATTCGATTCAGAGATTTAAGGCTAGAAATTCCCGAGCCACCATTTGTCGAGACGGGCAATAGAGAGGAATAGATAGATGTCGATATGTATGATAAATAACAGTCCAATTAGATTATAGAGCGGTTGGGTTATAGATTCTCGCTAGAAATTCAAAGAAAGAATATCACTTGGTTACCCTTGACATAACAGGAGACTAGCAAATGGCTTCTGGCTAAGACGTCGGGACTAATTCGAAGGGGGGAGGAAGTAAACACAGAAGTAATTTGTCCTCGTCAGCTTGAAGGGGTCACTGGCAAGGAGACAAAACAATGAATACTACCCCACGGGTAAAAGAGAAACACTCCGAGGATAATGAAGGAGGGCTTAGACTCTGTTATTTATACTGTCTCATTACTGATCATTACCTGCATGTTTTTAACAATATTTTGCTCTGATTTACCACCCCAAGTATACGAAGTAGCCCTACACGAAGCAGCCATTTGCTTTGCTTCTTCAGTCCACTGACTGCGAGAGATGTATGATCTGTGTAATCAGAAAAGGTGATTAGTACCAAAATTTAAACTGGGCCTCTTATAGTTTGTCATTTTGTTGACTTGCAAGGTATAACTGATGGGGAAGTTGCAAAACACCCTCTTGACTGAGTAGTTCTGTAACAGTCAAGTCAAGGATGAACCATTCTTTAAAGATTCCAGTGAGTTGGAATCAGCGGGAATATGGATGTGGTCTTAACCCGTAGGGTGTAGTGTAGGATTGAATGGACGATTTGAGATAGCTTCACAGAAGTCTTCCCCGACTTTGACATGTGCCGTTGGGGTAAGCCACCTATATCAGTGACGCAAGCATGAAAAGCTAATTTGGTGGGATGAGTCTCCATATCAGTGAATAGTGACAAGGCATTGCGTCGTGTGCTGAATGTTACCCTTTGAATTAACAGATCACAAGATTGGGCCAAGGACCTTGGTTGGGGATTGATAGAAAAGCCAAAAGCTTACACTGTGACCTCCAGCATGTATACTAAGGAAATGGGCAGGAACGATGTTATTCATGCACTTCTAGCAGAACCACATTGTTCCAGTCTGCGAAGTGAGTTCAAAAAAACATCAATAGTCTTTCGAAACTGCTTTAGAGCAGCGAGTACGGCACGGAGGCCGTGAGCATTCCGGCCTTTGTCTCTTAGTGTTGGCAAATACTTTGCTTTTGAGTCAAGATTCTCTGAAGAGTGTGTATCAAGGCACGGATCAGAGGACGGAGTAAAGTACGGAGTACCTGGGGGTGGATCGGCAACCCGTGAATAAGCGATGCCGATGATTGGGTTTATGTCATCAGCGCCCCGATGTCGGAGTTGGTGGGGTTGAATATTGGAATTCACCCGCCTTTATATTCTGAAGCTGCCGGCCTGGATTATTGAGTCAATAATTTCTCTTGATTTTACTGCATAATGTCTTCCTTCAATATTGTTGTCTTTGGTGGTGACCACTGTGGTCCTGAGGTATGTCATTAGGAGCTCTAGTCGGGAAATCGAATACAGACTGACATTGAGGGAATAGGTGACTGCTGAGGCTGTCAAGGTAACATTGCACACTGGAATTGCGCGGAATAGACATACTAATTCAATTTCAGATCCTCCGCGTCATTGAGAAGTCCCGTGGTGTTACTTTCAACCTGCAAGATCACCTGCTCGGTGGTGTGAGTGTACTTCACCAACGCGACAAAAGTCCAATATCTAATGATTGCAGGCCTCTATCGACGCTACCGGTTCCCCCTTGACCGACGAGGCCCTGAACGCCGCCAAGAACGCTGATGCCGTTCTCCTCGGTGCCATTGGAGGTCCCGTACGTCTCCCTCTCCAACCCCTCCATCTTCCCCCTTCCCGCACAAACACCAAGAACAAGCCTAACACATTGCGTCCGACAGAAATGGGGTACTGGCGCCGTGCGCCCAGAACAGGGTATCCTCAAGCTGCGCAAGGAGATGGGCACATTCGGCAACCTGCGACCCTGCAACTTCGCGGCACCCTCGCTGGTCGAGAGCTCCCCGCTCAAGGCCGACATCTGCCGCGGAGTCGACTTCAACATCATCCGTGAGCTGACTGGTGGTATCTACTTCGGCGATCGTACGGAGGACGACGGTTCCGGATACGCCATGGATACTGAGCCCTACTCGCGCCACGAGATCGAGCGCATCATCCGTCTTGCCGCCAACCTCGCTCTGCAGCACAACCCTCCTCTCCCCGTCTGGAGTTTGGACAAGGCCAATGTCCTTGCTACCAGTCGTCTCTGGCGTAAGGTCGTTACCGAGATCATGGAGAAGGAGTACCCCCAGATCTCCATTGGTCACCACCTCATTGACTCGGCTGCTATGCTGATGATCAAGGATCCCCGCAAGCTGAACGGTATCGTTGTTACTAGCAACTTGTTCGGTGATATCATTAGCGATGAGGCCAGTGTTATCCCCGGTTCCCTGGGTCTGCTTCCCAGTGCCAGTCTGAGCGGTATTCCTGATGGCAAGAGCCGTGTGAACGGTATCTACGAGCCTATTCACGGTATGTATTCTCTCATTCTTATTCCTTCTGTCAAATTCTGGCTCTGGTCATGGCTAATTGGTACTCATAGGCTCTGCCCCTGATATTGCTGGCAAGGGTATCGTTAACCCCGTCGCCACTATCCTGTCTGTGGCCATGATGATGCAATACTCCTTCAACATGATCGATGTCGCCCGCCTGATTGAGCAGGCTGTGAGCAACGTCATCGAGGCCGGTGTCCGCACCGGCGACATTGGCGGCACGGCCAAGACCACCGAGGTCGGCGATGCCGTCGCCGCCGAGCTGGAGAAGCTGCTTAAGTAAATATACAAAGTATCTACATGAGATATGACTAGCATAGAACACCAAAAATTCGAATACCCGTTTTAAGATGCGACATGTATTCCACTGGCGCAAAGAAAATGCCTAACGATATTCACTCGCCGACCCAAACCCATGTAAAAGAAATTGTAACTGGGTATCATGAAGACATTGAAACTCCGATAATAAAACCCCCATTGGCATTTTGTAAGCCAATCAACGCCGGTATTTTTTTTTGGTCCTTGTAAGAAGCCCCTGCTTACCGAATCACTGGCTCACCCATCCAGTCTGGCTCGTCTAGGCCGGTAGCAGCAAACCCAGTATCCGCATCTTCACTTGCAGTACGTCCCCGAAGATCATGAGCCCCACGCAAAGACGGACGACGGCGCCGAGGATCAGCAGAAGCCGAGGGAGCAGCGGCCATCCGACGACGACTATCATCACAAGCAAACACCTGGAATCCACGAACATGAGTATCCTTGCCGTTTTGATGGTTCTCCATAATACGCATTTGGATCACCATAGCTTTGAGCACATTCCCAGAATACGGATCATCCTCATCATCCTGGCTATCAGGTTCATCAACCTCGTAAAATGGATCACACTCATCATCATGCTCATGATCAGGGTCATCACAATTCCGGTACACAATTGTCCGTCGACGCATACTCGTAGATCGGCGTTTCGGCTTCCCAGGCTCGTTGCGCACCCATCCACCGTTTCTACCGCCGACGCCTTCTAGTGGCACATCGACCCAGCCGCATGGTCCGTCGCCCTCCCAAGTTGCGAACTCGACGAGGTCGTTGCCGCCCATCCCGGCGGCGAAGATCATTTTCGTGGGCGTGTAGCTTTCGTCGAGCTCGAAATCGAGATAGACGCGGATGCGTACGACGGCTACCAGTTTAAAAAAGTGGAGGGTTAAAGTGTGCGGTTGGGGTCCGTCGGATTGCCAGTATTGGGCCGGGGAAGGGTTGCGGAGGGCCGCGACGCCGCAGCCCGGCTTGGAGGTGGAAACGGTCCAGGAAGCGAGCGATGAGATTTCGCGCAAGTTGGGTGGTAGGGGGGAGGGGGATTTTTCTGTTGCACGAGAACATTAGCCTGCATTCTTGACGTGTAGCCAATAGCAAAGTATAGCGAAAAATCAGTACCTCGATCGTGCATCTCGTGGTCGGGATCCTCTCCGTCAAATTGATCCTCGACTTCTTCCTCCAGTTCCTCGCCATTAATATCAGAGTCGTCGAATTGCTCGTCGATGGCCTGACTATGAGCGAAGGAATCATCAAAATCAAGGGGTCCGTCGTTCCCAAGCTCTTGCATGCTGTGCCCGCGCGGGTCAAAATCATCGTCAAAGTCATCATCATCCATCATTTGTGGTGGTGGGTGCTCTACCCTTGGTCTCCCAAAAATGTTAAAGGGGTTTATTGGTGCCGCTGGATGCCCCGGCGCGGTGACCTGGTCAGGCGTGAGAGCATTTGGACCAGTGGAGGGGGGTTGGTGTTGATGGGTTGGGTTGGTGGGAGTGTGACGCGTTGGTGGGGTTTGGAACTGTGCTCGTAGACTTCCTGGGGTATTTCCCTCTTGATTGGATGCTATGTCGCGTGGATTTGGTTGTCGGCGCAAGTGAGGCATGGTTGTTCTATAAATTGCAGGAGTTGATGTTTACGCGTAGATCGAGGGGAGCTCCATTTCCTTTTGCGGTTAGCGCTGTTTGGAAGCTATGAGGCATCTCACGTCACAGCACATTATGTATAAGCCTGATGAATTCATCTGGTCATTTGAATACTTCTAAGAAGAAATATATAGGTGGCATGTTTTGGCTCACTTGGCCTTAGCACTTGCTCCTTATTGGAGCTTCCAGACATCACTACTGGACTGCCTGAACAGAGACTATATTGGAGAATGTTAGTGAGCTAGTATGTTAAAAGAGATATTATGACTCTGAGAGCTCTGCCTATATGTGGCCAACAGGAGTCTTTTCTTGTTTCTTTCTGATGGCTTCCTTCCAAAGCACACCGTCCAGACAAATCTTTGCGGTCTACTTTATCAAGTATCCAATGCATTTGCACTGTATGTGTGCATGGTGTTATACTAACTAGCTAACATATGAGCTTAGATAGCAAGCAAGATATTGATGAGGAAGTCACCGTATGTAAAATACATCTACTGAGTACTTATAGTGATGTCCTTCAAGTGCAAGAAGTTCATATGGCATCCTCATATATTAGCGGATACTAAGGAACTAATTCGCGCATTCATCTACATATTCTTACTCTCTTTTATTTTATCACCTCTAAAGCAAGCGGTCAATTCTAAGAGATTTCTCTGGCCTGATCTTAATTGATGAAAAATAAAAGCCAACCAAATCCTGAAAGGGAAAAGAATTGCAACCATTGTAATGTATTAGTTCTTTGCATGTAGTATAAGTCTTATATTTAAGAGTTTTCTTGGTCTGTTTGTTATTCTCGGCCTTCTAGGGAATAAAATACGGCATCAAAATGTAAAGATAACTTAGGGGTTCATCTGCTTTCTCTCAGATTTTTAATTCCATCTGTACATTGCGATCCTAAGCTTACTACCCTCACACTGGCATATATGGCTCCTAAATCTACAGCTAGATCGCTAGTATGCCAATGCGATGCTAGGCCGCATGAACCACTTGATATCCAAGTAGCGATCGTGATACGACACGGATTATGAACCGAAAACAGCTCCAGCTGTAGTGTCTTATCGTGACAGAGTATTTCCATTATGATTCGCATTATTCACAGATGCCAAGTTCCTCCATCGCCGTTTATCCATCGGTGTGGCATTTCGTAAGCCAACATATCTAGCAGCAGCACTCACAGCACTCAAAGCAAGCGATACCAGCGCAGCTATCATAAAAACGTCAGCCAGTCTGTCTTATTCTGCTTGGTTTAGGCTCCGAAGTAACCTTGAAGACTTACATTCCGCAACAAATATCACCACCTTCACCGCCACCGCGAAGTTCCATCTTCATGGACTCGGAGCTCTAAAGGGTCATTAGTTGCGAACCTTAACAGATAATAATGGGAGAAAATACAGGCTGCTGGGAGACGACATTGGTGGAAGACATGGTCTCGGCGTTGGAAGGCTGTTCCATGGCCACAGTGGCCGCATCCCAGGTAGGTTCCTGGGCTGGCTTGGACTCGTTGGAAGACTCGAACCAGCCGAACATTTTGGTATATTATTAGTATATGGAGAAGGAGGGAATTTAATGGAGAAGATGTACAGGAAGAGGGGGAGGTGAGAGATAAAGGGGAAGTAAATAACCCGGAGTCAGCCGTGTGTTTCCACTGAAACAAGTCCACGGGGAATTTCTAGTGTGTAATATAAATCTCTTTTCAATACAGGCCAGACCATACTGGGCAGCTAGCAGGCAGCCATATTATGGGTTTGTGGGGCTGTCGGCACCTGAGGTATTACCGGCTTATGTATTGGGCCTGCTTTGGCAAGAGATTATATTTGGGGTTATATTTAGGAAAAGCGGCTACTGATTTGCTTATTGTGCGTGATTTTTTTTTATATGTACATTAATATGTAGATATAGAGACAGAAGGAGATTGAAGCAAATCGATGTGAACAGAAAATGGAGACACCAAGCTTTTAGTCAAGCTTTGCCCGATCTTGGCACCCCCTTTCAGCCCTATATTATGACGTCGCATAGATCTTGATTATATCTTTATATATATATAGAAGTCTGCCTATCTAGATGGAGTTTACCAATTTCAAATTCAGACCCAAGCCAAAACCGAAATACCCGAAAACCAGGCAACTCAAATTCACCGCACGGCCGCATCGACCATGCCTCGCAAACTATCCGGCGCATCATACTTGTCCATATACAACTCAACGATACGTAAGGGGGCTGGATTATTCTCATCGAAGAGCGCAGCGGAGCCAAATGATGGGTCATCGAGCAACACATCCAGCTCACCCCTAGTCCGAACAGAATAGGTGTGTGCAGTGTTCGGAGCGGCCTTGAACAGAGCTGGCAAAAGCCTGTGGTCCCAAGACTGGATTTCGTTATAGTCGGCATCCCTGCCGTGAATCAAACGTTCTATCGTGTATCCCTCATTGCAGACGATGAACATGATAATGCCCAGCTTGCGACGGACCATGGTGCTCACTTCTTGTGCGGTCAGCTGGAAGCTACCATCGCCCGTGAGGCAGATGGTTCGTCGGCGCCGAGTACCTTGGGACTGTTGCTCATCTTCACGTGCCGCAAGCGCCGCTCCCACCGCTGCACCGACGGCATATCCAATGGAAGACCAAAGGATCTGCACTAGTGGGACTGCCCCGCGCGGGTATCGAGTCCACAATGAGCCAAAGACAGCGGTTCCTACGTCTGCAGCTACAATGTCGTCCTCTTCAAGCCATGAAGATATTCGTTGCCAGGTCCAGGATTGGGTCAGCGGTTGAGACTCGTCAGCAAGGCTATTCTCGAATTCCTTAAGCTCATCGCCGTTCACACTTTGTCTGAGTGGGCTTGAGGTAGATGAGATGGTCTCGTGTATATCAGGAGTACCACTAAGCTGACGGGAAGGTGTGGAGGCCGCGGAGACAGATCCTGACTGTCCTTTGTCAAGGATCATGCTGAGCCTTTCCAGCATACCACTCATACCGACCTCCATAATCCCTTGAGATGGCATTTGAATTCTGTAATGTTCAAATTCAATTCTCTCGATGTGAGGCAACTCATGCTTGAGCTCCGTTGTGTTGAAATCCGCAGGACGCGGGCCAAGCACTAAAATTAAATCGGAGGATCGCACCTGCTCAAAAACGGTAGGTTCCGAATACTTTCCTGCGTATAAACCGTGAAAATTTACCGAATTCTCGTCGACGATGCCCTTGCCCATCGGCGTAACAAAGAAAGGCAATCCTGACCTTTGAACAAAGTGCCTCGTCGCACTTAGATTGTAAGACTTTCCAGCCAGACCATCGACAATGATAACAGGATTCCGGGCCGTCAGGATACGGCCGAGGATCAGATCCTCGGCGTGTTCTTCCTCCTCCGTGGTTATGCGGCCAGGTTCTTCGGGCCTCAGGGGATATTCGAGCGGAGATGGATCTACCTCTGCCTTGACAAGATCCGTCGGGAAGCCAATGTAGACAGGTTTGCTAGAACGGCAGCACTCGAGAATTGTTTCGTCGATGAGCTTAGTCGCATCTAACGTATCCTTCAGAATGACTAAGGCGCTCGAGATTTCGGCACTCATTTTGGCAAATAGTCCAAAGTCGCCATTTCCCAATGTGTGGTGCATTGGCAATCGCTCCTCCTGCACAGATGTCGAGGGATACCCGACAATGTGGATGACTGGTACTTGCTCGGCACATGAACCTGCTAGGGCATTAATGGCCGAAAGCTCGCCAACGCCTAATGTAGTCATGACAACTCCTATCCCTCTGATGCGGGCATAACCATCGGCGGCATAGCCTATGTGTATATCATAATTAGATTCGTGTGTTGGAGTAGAAAGCATGTTTGTTTACTCACCACCGTTGAGCTCGTTCACATTCCCGACCCAATTGAGACCACATGGAGCAATGTAGTCAAGGGAGGTTAGATTGAAATCCCCGGGGACGCCAAAGATGGAACGAACTCCAAGTTCGTGAATGCGACGGAAAAGATACTTCAATCAAGGAGTATTTAGCCATGTATCAATGAGTTTGGCATATCATTTTCATACCTCAGCAAGATGCATAGTGACGTCAAAATATCCGAAGAGTTCCCGATGGCTTTTAAGCTTGTCTGAAGGACACGTTCGACCTCTTTTGGAAATGTAGAATATCTTCAAATGATGGTCTATCCAAGCCTTTTATCACATTCTCATCAACCACACTTTGCCATCATTGGTTAATATTACTATCATAACGGTTGGGAAACGTCTCCTTTGCCTAATGGCCAGTAACATGACCATTCGCAATAACTAATCAGGCTCAATGGGGCTATGACTTTCCCAACACACCAAAAGGGTCCTAAAATATTACCCGAATGAGAGAAATGCGCGAGATCGGCACAACTGTGCTACACCACAGAGTCGATATAGAACCCGGCGCGTCCTTCCAGCGTCACAAACCTTGATGTAGATACATCTTGAGAGTTCATCATTCATCAAATTCAAATCCTCCCCATTGAGATTTGTGCTTATATGCTCTGGGAGTATGGCGTGCCCGTGTGTGAACCCTATCGGTTACCCCATGCAGAAGGCTGCGGAAACTCCTGAAGTCACTCGTGCAAGTATGCATGCACATGTGAATAAGCTGGATAGCAGAGGTAGTTCTGAGGGTATGCTTCCGAAGGTTCTACACCATCTCAAGTCCCGAGGCCGCGAGTAACCTTTTTATCCGGGTTTATATCTCCTGTTGTGTACCAATCATTGACTGATCAATTAAATACTGTGTATGAGGAACATCTGCAAGGCGAGTGTCCTATTGGATACTTTACTTTGCTTATCTGTGTACATACATCTATTCTTGTGGTAACGAATACAGAACTCTAGCACTAGACCACAAAAAACCAAGATTCTTGTATGGGGCTTAGAGACACCATCTCTGACTTTGATAATTCCTCGCTGGCGGCTGACAGGTAATTGAAAAAAACCAGTTTTGCAGTCGCCACATGGGTCATACTCTTATTAGATAGATAAATCCCTGCCTACCTGCTTGAAGCAATAGGGTAAGTATGACTAGGCTACGGTATGTATGCTTGGTCTTAGGATTTATGATGGCAGGTGTTGGCTCCAGGCACATTAAATGCTGCAATTCATCAATATATTTGACCTGAAGAGACCCAAAGGAAAAACGCCACCATGTGGAAATAAACAACGTTCATCTGGGCCAAAGTCTTCCAAGCCACGTCCTTTATCAACCATCATGACTAGAACACAAAACTCGCCATGCTTCGCCTCGTCCCAAATAGGCTCTCCATGCGCATCGACGGAGATAAGTGTTCGGATTCCCAGGTTTTTGAGCATATGCCGCAACTTCTCCATGCTCTCTATCTTGAATTTTGTCTTTCGCTCCTCAACTTCCGCCGGCGTGGGCAGAGAGGGTAGAAATGGAACCGTGTTAACCCCATATCTAGTACCATGATTAGTGCACAACCAACATATCCAAGAACTCTCCATACTCTGCTTCCAACTGTCGTCCAATATCTTCCTTTTCAACCCCCGCGATCTGTGCCGCTGCCCAACAGTAGTCGAACAAGCACCACAACGGCCATGCCATCGCCATTGCCAGACGATCCTTCTCCGTTTTTGGACGGCCAATATTCTCCAGCCTATTATGTGCAAGATTTAAATTGCGACGGTCGAGAAGCTTAGCACAGCCAATATCAGTAGTGCTGGTGCAAATCTCACGCAGGACTGGGAGGAGCTCATCATCAGTGGGAAGCGAGAGATTATCCATTGTCTGGTTTTTGAGGATTATTATGACAACTGGTAATTTGCCTGACAGAAAATTGTATCATCCCAGGCGTGGGTCCAATGCTTTCTATGAATTAGTGTCTATGGGTTGCATTTTCTATTATGAGTGGAGGGAAACAGTAGAGGAAGTCCTTCATATATAGGACTGAGGCGGTGGTGCTAACCACATCAGGCTGGTTGGCATGATATCCCTGAAAATCTTCGTATTTTACCAAGTTGATACGTCTTGATGGATGTCAATATTGTAATTTTTATTGTGATGACCGCCAGTATGGAATTTTGCATCTACAAAGGTGAGCCTAGGGAGTGATGAACATATGTATGCAATTCTCTGGCTTTATCATGCTAAACATGTTTGATGCTCAATCCTCTTGCACTTTACCAATTTGAACAGCTTGTTCCAATATCTGAGGTATCCTGTGCTGCCATAGCCGCGTGTAATGGGTTGGCCGCCAAGACAGCCACGAAGGATCTATCATTTGAACTTGTTCACAACCGTAGACATTTCTTTTTTTGGCTGAGGTAATTTTGTTGCCATTATCCTCCGAGTATCACACTCTTGCTGGGTGTGAACTGGCCTGTGCATGGAGAGTCTCTACTCAACTTTGACAGGAACGGTTTTGTTCAATCGAGAATAAAGATCGTCCGGGAGCATCTTCTTCCGTTCGGCCTTCTCGATGACCAGTTTATCTTTCAGAGAATCGTAGCGAATGATTGAACTCCCACCCCAGTTTCTGGCCACTCGTAAGATACATTCGATGAGTGTCACGAGTTTTCTGATATCATCCTGGTTGACTTGTTCCCAGTCTCTCAGTGCGGTAGTGACATCTTCCACGTTCGGTAGGGAGAATATTCCATGTTGGTGATAAGCCCGAACAAGTTTGGGCGTTTGGGAAATCCAGAGCTGTGGTGCAACTTCTGAGAACTGCAGAGGTTTGTGGAGAACTCGAGTTTTGATCTCCAAAGTCGATTCCCGTGGTACTACCCGACCTTCCCTCTTGATTGTCAGTTCAGATTTAGTTGATTCCTGCATAGTGGCGGCGGACGTTGGCGCAAGAGACAATGAACGCATGGTTTTAGCAAGATCGTCTCTTATGGACATATCTTCCTTGCCACCAGGCTCCGAGTCACCAACACAGCCATCAGTCTCATGACGCACGAGGAAACTCAAACCACCCAGTCGGTATGAAATTATGCGGTGGTGTCCCGTGCTTTTTGCAATTTGGCTTATCGTGTATGCTTTCTCGAATTCGTGTCCAAAGCCCCGGAATTCGCCTGGTCCAATAATTTCATGGGTGGCTGTCTCTGCACGGCAGAAGATTGCAGTCTGGGCAACCACATCGATCTCGATGGTGAATGGATCAAGGCCGTTTCTGCTCTGAGCGGGGTTGATAAACGACAGAAGTTTGCGGATGTTATTTCTGTCAGTCACGACATCGATGGAACTAATATCGAACGAGGGCTTCTCAATGTAAAGGGCGCGGAAAAGCGGTTCTAGAGGGCTGTCGGGATGACGAGCAGCATTCTGAGAAATGTAGACAAGGCCGCTATCTTTCTTCACTTTCCGGGGGCCTTGTGGGGCAGACCAGAGAGCTGGACTTCCCGGGACAGCGATGGTTGGTTTGCGTGCCTCGATCCAGTTATAGGAAGCCAAATGGGTCACATCAGTAATGATTGCTTCCGTCTTATTGGAGGACTCCAGGCCATGACGGGAAATTTCCTCGAGCCCCGCGGTGGATGTCTTCAAGTCTGACATTTGATAGATGTACTTGCCTGGTGGTAGGAGACATGGTAAGATTAGTCGAGACCTCAGAAAGCAACATAACGACATACTTAACAAGTCACTGATTCTTGAATTCAAGCACAGGAATTGACAGAAGAGCAGGAGAAGAAAGAGAAGAGCTGCTCTTCGAGATGCTGCTAGCTGGATGAGAGAAGGAGAGGGAAGATAGTATGTCTGCAAGGAGAGGAAGACCAGGGAACTATCATCATTGCGAACAGGAATCCTTGGGTGAAGATCTGAAAGTCATCAAGGTTTGATTGTGTGATTACCCCATCTAGCTAATATCAGACATAAGCGTCCGCTCAAGGACCACTCCAAGTTCATAGTAACGCCTATAAAACAGGCACCGCAGAACTCCAAATATGCATGGCTACTTATATTCCAACTGGGCTGTAGGGTGATGCATCTCATGAGATCATATATTGGTCTATGTATCCATGTTTCACTAGTGATGTTACTCAGGGACTAGTGCATTATTTCCGACATCGCTCTTGTCCCTCTCAGCTGACTCATTATGTTTTATCTAATGACTCTCTCTCTCTCTTTGAATGTTAGCAGCTTGGTATAGTTAATACGTGAGATGTAAACTTACGATGTTAAAAAGAGGTTCATATTGGGTCTTGTTGGGGATCGCGCTTCATGGAATATCTGACATAATGGTAGATGGAGTGTTGATCCCTTGGAGAGAGGTTGTGATGCCTGTGCACTAGCTTTTGCAGCCAGGGAGTTATCAAGTATACTAATTAGTATATGCATTGGAGGCGCCCGAGAATAATTACAAGCTAGAGTGAGTCCAATATACAAGATGCCCGCATCTTCCTTTCTTATTTCCTTCTTTTCAATCAGCTCTGTTCTTTTTTATTGTCTTGAGACAGAATATTGGAAATCATAGATGATGTAGTCTCGGCCAACACTGCGCCGACAGTGGGTCAATGAGGACTTTTATAAAGAGGGGTTGCTCCCATACTTCTTTTACCTCAACCACAATACGAAGTACACAAGATGTCTATGAGCATTAAAGATTGCGCTCAAAGTCGAGATGGCTTCCCTCGTCCATTCCCGGGTACGCCTTCAAATGTGTTGGAACAATTTAAAATGAACGGAAAGGTGGTGGTCGTTACGGGGGCTGCCGATGGACTTGGCCATGCGATATCACAGTCTATGGCCGAAGCCGGTGCTGATGTTGCCCTGTGGTATAATTCGTAGGGTTCTTTCTTATCTTAAGTATAATGGGTATTGACCATATTAACAGAAATGACGTCGCTATCGAGAAAGCCCAAGTCCTAGCAAAGGAGCATGGTGTAAAGGCCTTGGCTTACAAGGTCGATGGTAAGAGAACATTTTGGGCTTTGTGTCCACAAAGATGACAAAATGCTAAGCTTTGAGCTGCAGTTTCGGAATCCACTCAAGTCTCCGAGACAGTTGCAAAGGTCGTGGCCGATTTCGGCAAGATTGACGTGTTCGTTGCCAATGCAGGTCAGTTCCCGTGATACCTTGATGAACGACAGACAGCTGATTCAGAGAAGGCATGGCGATCTCCAAGCCTATCTTAGAGCAAACTCTAGATGAGTACCGGAAGCAGATGTCCGTGAATGGTATGAACCTGTCGCTTCAAGAAGATGATCGATTGTGGTCTTAACCGAGAATTAGTTGATGGCATTGTGTATTGTTCGAAATATGCTGGTGAATTATTCGCACGGCAGGGTCATGGCAATCTCATCATTACCTCGAGTATGAGCGGACACATTGTCAATGTTCCCACTGACCAGCCTGTCTATAATGCGACCAAGGCGTACGTCACTCACTTTGGAAAATCCCTTGCTCGTGAATGGCGGGATTTCGCGCGAGTCAACATCGTCTCGCCAGGTTTCTTCGATACAAAGATGGGAGCAGGTCCCTCGGCCCTTCAGGAGGCATACCGCATGTCGTCACTTGGAAGGCAAGGCCACGTGAAAGAAATCAAGGGATTGTATCTATACCTTGCCAGTGATGCGTCTACCTTCATGACCGGAAGTGATGTACTCATCGACGGGGGATATGTTTTGCCATAGGGTTTTAGCTCAAATCCAACTTGGGCGAACATCATAAGTTGGATGTATGAAATTTAGATGACGACATCAAATACACCCAATTAGTAATCTCTCGCCCAAAGACCCTTTCACTGGCTAAACCCTCAAATGAGACCGCGCCCGAAGGCGTTTTTAGCCCCGCTATATCAAGCCTCAAGGTCTTATTATTTGATTTTGTTTTTCTTCAGGTACGATATTGACATCGTTCAGTCGAGATAGCGATGGTTCTAGTTATACGGGAGTACTGTAGTGCACTAAATATAGCACAGTAATTGACCAATCGAATCTTATCTCTTTTGAGCTGTTTCCCCAAATTGGAAATAAGGCTCCGAATTGTGTCGGGGACCGGTTATCCGAGCCAACAACGGACCCCAGGAGAACAGTGGAGTAGCATGAGTCCACGACTCATAATGAGGTGCAGGGCCGAGAGGCCGAGAATACCGAACATACAACATAAGTACTTTTGCCTTGGACAGTTGTCTAACCCGGGGCAACATCTTGGCATGATCATTCAATTAGGCGTCCAAATTGATGGAAAACAGGCTAATCAATGACAGGGATGCATGTCGTCGTCAGCTACACAAGAACATATCAAGTGATGAAGCCACTTTTCTAATCAAAACATGGCAGATATAGGGGACAACGCGGAGAAAACCTGCTTTTGGCTGATTTGGGGTATGTGATTGGCTGGTCTGGCGGCCCGGTTAGAGATTCAATTTCCTCAATACAGAAAATAGGAAAAGAGAGAGAGAGAAGAGATAGAGAAAGTAGTGAGTGTGTAGATAGAAGAAAAAAAAAAGAAAGAAAAGGAATTGAAAATACAAAGAGAAAATGAAATTTACCAGAATATAACAGAATATACCAGACGTATTGAAATCGATTTTCCCCACGTTCTTTATCATCGAAGTGACTTCATGCGATTTCACTGCCCCTCCTTTCCTTCACCTTTTTCATTTCAACTGGATCTTGACTTCTGTTTCTGTTTACCATAGCGCCATCTGGGCCAGAGTCAAAAACGGCATAATCACAGTAATCACACCGGCCATTGGTGTCGGCTCAACTTCGTCCCCGATAACCTTCATTTCACCATGGCGGAAGAACGAGATTTCGCCGCTGAGGCAGTCGCGTCTGTCGATGTTCCCTCCCCCAGCGACCCAGTTCCTCCGTTTCCCCGACAGACCTCAAGCCCCGTCGTTCTCCCCTCTCGTGAATCTTCAGGACCGGGCTTATCTGCCTCATCCACACATCTGGGCCAGATCAATGCTGCGCGCCGGGGTGGGCCTTCACCACACCCTCAGCCGTCGATGAGCTCACAAGGATCCGGTGGATTGAATCCAGGCCTCATGGCAAAAATGAAGGCATTTTCATTATCCCGCCAAGGCGCCCCATCGCCACAATCTGCTGCTTCGACGGGGCACATCCCCACGGCTCAAAATGGTGCAGGCGGCGCACTCGCTGGCGGCGCATTGGCTGGCGGCGTACCCCAGAATGGCGCACGGCCTATTCCTCCAAATTGGTCATCTTCACCCGCCGTCCCCGCCACTGGCTCTGGTCCTCTGTCGCCTCGGCCGGTAGGGAGTCTGGCAGCGAAGCGCATGAAGCCAGGTCTCAAGCTATCGGATGTCACTGGTTCGTCTACCCCTGCAGCAGGTGCGGATCAAAAGCAGGGGGAACAGAATGGGGGAGTGCCTTCAGTAAATACTCCGAGTTTATCGACACGAAAGAGGGCACTTTGAACTTCAAAAACAAAGCTATCCTACACGGAGGTGGTGTCGAGTTTTCGTCAGGCCACAGCTTTAAGATCTCTCTGGATGAAGTCGATCGCTTGGAAGAGTTGGGTAAAGGTAATTACGGAACGGTCTATAAGGTTCGACACACTCGCCCGCATCTACGAAAACCAGGTCTGGGGTTGAGTGGCATTGTCAGCCGGCCTCCAGGCCACGTTGAAACGAGTCCGGATTCCGGCTCGAATCAGCTCTCGGGCGTGGTCATGGCCATGAAGGAGATTCGCTTGGAATTGGACGAAGCCAAATTTGCGCAAATCATCATGGAATTGGACATTCTACACCGTTGTGTCTCTCCATTCATCATCGATTTTTACGGAGCCTTCTTCCAGGAAGGGGCAGTCTACATGTGTGTTGAGTTCATGGACGGTGGCTCGATCGACAAGCTCTACGAAGGTGGTCTTCCCGAAAACGTTCTGCGGAAGGTGGCTCTGTCCACCATTATGGGATTGAAGTCATTGAAAGAGGATCACAATATTATTCACCGCGATGTGAAGCCCACCAACATCCTTGTCAACAGTAAGGGTCAAGTCAAGATTTGCGACTTTGGTGTGAGCGGAAATCTGGTATCTAGTATTGCGAAGACCAATATCGGTTGTCAGAGTTATATGGCACCTGAACGAATTGCGGGAGGCGGAATGCAGCAGTCGGGAGCACCGAGTGCCGGCACATACAGTGTGCAGAGCGATGTCTGGAGTTTAGGCTTGTCCATCATCGAATGCGCTATGGGCCGATACCCATACCCACCGGAAACATTCAACAACATTTTCAGCCAGTTACACGTGAGTACCTTGGCAACATTTTTTCAAGTTTAACATTCTAATATTCTTCATTATAGGCTATCGTCCACGGAGATCCCCCAACACTACCCGAAGGATTTTCTGAAGAAGCGCACGCCTTCGTCCGGGCCTGTCTCGACAAAAACCCAAAGAACCGACCAACCTACGACATGCTAATCCGACACCCTTGGCTAGCACCTCTCATGCAACCACCTACCGAGTCTGGTGATGATAGCGCCCCACCACCGGAGGAGTCCGGCTCCGCCGATGCCGCTTCATCCGCCATCACAGAGGACAAAGAAGTGGCTGAGTGGGTGAAAAAACAACTCAAACTCAAAGAAGAGGGCGTGCTCCATGTTTCCGACAAACCGGCACTTCACGCCGTCGCGCTGGATAAGGTCGGCACGGCCCCTTCCGAGGATGATCCTCACGCTCCGTCACAAAATGACTGAGCTTGACACCGACTATCTCGAACTTTGCATTCCCCTTTTCCTTGGGGCCAACTTTCACGGCGCAGGCGCCGTTTCTCACGACTTGCATCCCTATTGATTCCACTATGCTAGTATGCCAATATTCTAGGCTTTGGGTATCCATTGGAGCATGGTCAGATAATCGCCATGGTCATTACTCGCATGTGATCTCAGACTATTTGGTCAAATCAACCACCTTGGTATACGAGTATCTTGGTTTATTGGACTGAACTGGGATAATCTGCTGCGCCCGGTCTTCACAGGCGCAAGGAACACATTTTCACATACCTTACCTGATGTTTCCGAATTTCCTGCATTTGAATTGTGAGTTTTCTGTGTCTCCCATGCAAGCGCTCTACTTGGCCTTACATGTATTCTGGGTGAAATATTATCTTCGTAGGTGCAGTCACTGTAGTCTATCAACTCTTCAATTGAAACGATTCCATACAGCGACTTGATAGTAAACCATTAAAAAGTGTTTAACAAATGTTGTATTAAAATAGAAGATCAGTATCCCTATGGTTCTCGCTGTTAAAGAAAAGAACCTCGGCTCTCTCATCCCAAGCCTCTTCCCAAATCTCATCCACAATCTCCCTCACCAAACTCAACTTCTTCTGATGCTCAACAAGAGGATTTCCATTCTCATGCGTATAAGTTCACACTGGGCACTGATACAACCCCTCTTAAGTGCCTCCCCTCCAGTTGGCCCAGACTCTTTAGCAACAAACTCAACAGCCGAATAAACCCGTTCTTTCATAGCCTCCATATCCAAATGCTCATCTTGAAGTAGTAGAGCGCTGTGAAGTTTGTTCGCCACGCGTGGATAAAAAGATATCTGTTTGATTCTGGAGGATTTACTTGGTATAGACTTATCTCAATTTGATTAATTCCAGGGTTCATCAAGGACCTTCTCAGGGCTTCTCCATGTGGAGATTCTTATTCTGCGGGGCTGATGGGGCTCTTTATGCTCTTCATGAACACCATCGTCTCTATTTGCCGATGCTCTAAACATATGGAGAATGAGCTATCATCTGCCAAATCATATGAAGATACTGAATATAATTGCATCCTAGATAACAACCTTCAATTTGAACATCGGCTTCGGAAGTCTTTAACATCTGTTAAAAGAGCCCCACATACGCTAGAAATTTAGCAGATGATATTTCTTAGGTATAAATCTACGATACATCTAGTTCAGCCATTCAAACCCATAAAAAATATCGCAGTGTTAATATTTCATCCAGATTCTGCATTCGCGCATAGTGCAAGTTGAACACCGACCGTCCAGCGACACACGTGATATCCCAAATAGCGTAGCCAAATACATCAAGATGCAGCTAAAAAGCCTCACATCCTATCTCCATAACGAAGGATCTGTAAAAAAAAAAAAAAATAGGTAGCTTCTCTTTGATTGAGCGTGTCATCCTTAGTGCAGGGGCCATGCTAATCTTCTCTGTATATTTTCATTTGACCATATGCCCCGAAGGGCGAAGAGCAATCCTTAAAGTTGGATATAACCCGTGTTTCGTGGCAGTATTATACCGCCTACTGGTTTGGATTGGTATGTATGGTTGCTGGTGTTGGGATTGTTGGTTGGGTTCGGGATAGTGAACTGGGCTGCTTCTGCTTGTTGTCAGGTATGTGATGTTTGGTATGGCAATGGTATATGGCAAGTGGCTGATATTTAGAAAAGAAGAGAAGATCAGATGAAAAGGGTCGCATGTGTAATTCGAGCGGGGCTCTAGGGCTTTGTGGGATTACTCATCACGGTCCTAATGCGGGGAGGTATTCCAGTATGGGAGGTATATTTCCTTATTTCATTAACTAGAACTGTAGTTCTGGCATAGTCACAATAGGAGCCTTCTAAATCAATGGCGTGGATAAATGCTGAAGGTTGTTGGATATCGTCCATAAAACCCCCAAACCCTAAAAAGTTGGTCTGCGTTAGC